GATAACTGTTATTAAAATCACACTATTATTAAAGATTTCTCACATTTTCTATTTTCAATTAGATAGACCTTGAAAATGGATATTAAGAATTTTAAAGATTTTCTCATGATTCGCTTTACATGCCTTCGGGCAGATAGCCGGGGTTCAGTAAATGTTTATTTTGTTTACTTCTCATTTCTGTGCTTCATAGCCATGGGGTCCAGGCAGGTGCTGTTCCTTGTGCACGAGAAACAATATTGCACAAAAGGTTGCCGTTTGGCAGGGGCTGTGGGGGCTGCCACACTGGGCCTGGCGTTTCTCAGAGCACAGGACCTAGGAGCTCTTGATGGGGAGTTCTGAGTTCACGCCCCCTATAGGTCTCTGGCACTATTTATTATTCCATGATTGTTCAAGTAACAGGTGACATCCAGAGTCCCCAGAGGATAGGGTTCCTAACCACTGTCAGATAAAAGCTGGAGCAGAACGATGACATTTATTCTAAAAGCTGGAGATTTTGACCTGTGTTGCTTTTATACAGTGGGTCTGATGTGGGTACTTGATTCTACCTGAAGGACACAAGTCATGTGAAATATGTTGGTCACGAATCTAATGGCTTGTAAAAAATTCCTGGGGCCTCTCAGCTTGCCATCATCCCAGGTTAATATTTATCTTTATATTAGATGGTGGAATAACACTGTAATTTTGAGTAATATTACCTGTGCTGCTCTGTATGTCACCAGAGTGTTCATGTTTGGCCTCTAAATTTATTTTCACAAAACTCTCACTGAATTATTTCAACAGGAGGACCCTAAAATGTCTTCCCGATAAAATGGCACTTTAAATGATGTGGGTTTGCTTAGTAAAGCCAGCTCATGTAACAAGCAAAAATCGATAACTCATTCCCCAGTGTTTCTCTGTCATTATCATCTCACAACTCACCCTGCTCCCAGGGAGGGAGTTAGCATTCTCCTTTAGAGTGAAAACGGGCAATGCCTGAAAAAAGCCCATAAATCTTGGTGAATAATTTCCAGGCAATACCAAGAGGCAAACTGTGGCTCTAATGACATTCTTGCAGGAGAATTGAACTTTTGAAAAACAAAAAACAAGCCTGGAAACTTTATTTTCATCCTCAGTCACTCTCTGAGCTTGTAGATCAAAACATATCTTCTGTTCTCAGGTGAGCACCCTGCGCACGGAAAAACCAAGAACTGACAGCTCGATGAATCCTCTCCACACCTAGGCAATGAATATGTAAGTTTCCTTATTTCATTCACCGAGATACTCATTAATATCTGTTTTGTTAGAGCGCTGCAGCTTAGATTATTTTTAAAGACTTCCACAAGCTAAAAAGTTAATGGCTTGTGTGTCACTGAGACCAGCATCATCTATTTGTCCAAAAACAAACTCTGAAGAGTTGCCAGAAAAAATGAATCTCTTGGTGGTTGTAGATTTGTCCAACTGCCTTGCCTGTCTAAGGAATGACACAAATCACTCCTTCTGCCTGTTGATAATAGTTCCTTATAAATGCAATCTGCCTTTACCTGGGTCAGTAAACACACACTAACTATGGCACACACTAACAAAGACTCACAGGACTCAAGGGACGATGCTTGCAAATTTTGCAATTTATTGTAGGAGAAGGATACAGTGTAGAAGCTGCATTAAGGATGTGTATCAGGGCCAACAGCTAGCTCAAGGAAAGTGTTGCAGAGAGGCTAGGTGGGAGGTCCAATGGCCCTGCCTCGGTAAGGACCATACCAGGGTGCACTTTCTTTCTGGGTCCAGGAACCATGGACATGTGGACAAAGCACCTACCGCAAGGTGACCTAAAATGCAGTCTCAGCCAGGCTTTCTTCTACTCAGCGATCACACAGGCATTTTCTTTCTGTACAATCAGCCAGAGACAGAGCCCTCCAGGTATTTCAATGAGACCAAGTGCAAATGATTGATCTCATTTACAATAACTGTTAATCAATAAAAAATGGAAACTTCTCAAAAGTATGTTCCATGTCTTGACCAGGAGTCAGTGCAATTCGGGTTCATTTCTCATTATAGTAAAACAGCTCACGCCAATGTCAGGACTGCTCTGGAATGAACCCTCCCAGCTCAACACAGGATTGCCTTTTACTTTCCTAGAACTGAGTGAGGAAATGTTCTTCTGACTTTAATTTAATTTTTATAAGAAGCATTGATTAAGTGCTCTCACAATTGG